TGTGAAATGTTTTTCCTCATGGACTAGCTTGTTCAACCAGCTTTCCAATCGCTGTTGGGACACATAAGGTCTGGGACATTTGATAATTTCAAGGAGGCTTTTGACAAAGCTTTGAATGAAGGGGAAGGGTTTTCTTCTGCTGCCGCTAATTGTTCTCAAACCTATATGGCTATTTTTGATACTGAATGTGCTGGTAGGTTGAATTAATATGACCCTGCATCTAATTTGGCTGTTTCCTTTCTGTTCCTTTCATATGTGGAGGACAGTTAAATAGGCAACTGCTCCTGATTTCTTATGGTAGAAAATGTTTTCTGTTTATTGAAATATTTCCATTCTTTCTCTGGGATTAGAATGAGTTTTGTTTGTTATTCGGTAATCTTTTCTGACTTGTTATAACTGCAGGTGCTATCATTGAGCAAGCAAACTGGGACACTTCTAGAATAAGGGATAAACTTCGACGTGATATTGATGCCCATGTTGCGACTATTCGTGCCGATAAATTATCTGAACTTTCTGCACATTTAGAGGTGAAGTCATGTTTTATGGCTTGAATACTGGACTTTTAATCTAGTTCATTTTGGAAGGCATTCATTGAGTGCTAATTTTTCTCCTAGACTTCCTCGTGGTTTTCTGAAACTCTTGTACCATCTGGGTGAATACCATATTATGTCCTTCTGAGCATTACTGAAGATGATAATAATGATTGCAGAAAAAACTGAAGGAAGCATTGTCAGGACCCGTAGAAGCTTTGCTTGATGGAGCTAATAACGAGACATGGCCAGCCATAAGAAAACTTCTCCAACGAGAGACTGAGTCTGCCATCTCTGAGCTGTCTAAAGGATTGGTGGGTTATGATATGGATGAAAAAACCAAAGAAAAAATGGTCACCAGTCTTGAGAATTATGCTAAGGGTGTAGTTGAATCAAAAACAAGGGAAGAAGCTGGAAGAGTCCTGATCCGTATGAAGGATAGGTATCAACTTTTCATGGATGCATCTGATTTGCACCTTCTTCTTTGGTGCCATCCAATATCCATTGGTATTGATATTGTTTAATATTGTGAACAGGTTTTCCACATTGTTTAGCCATGATGCGGATTCAATGCCACGTGTTTGGACTGGGAAAGAAGATATCCGGGCAATCACCAAAACCGCTCGTTCTGCTGTATGACACCATATATTATTAGTCTTTGATTCCTTTTTTCCTATTATTTATAAATTTGTATATTTATGTTTTATATTTAAATTATATATTTGTGCTGTAGTCCCTGAAGCTACTCTCTGTTATGGCTGCTTTACGATTGGATGAAGATGATTCCGGTGAGATAGACAATACTCTGTCATCTGCCTTGTTGAATGTCTCAAACAGTAGCAATACAAAAGATAGGAGCATTGTGGCAACTGACCCTCTTGCCTCAAGCTCATGGGAAAAGGTTGGTATTTTAGAGTCCTGATTTCCCCACCTTGTCTGCATCTCTTGAAATTTATAGTTGTTGCATAAAGGATACGAGCAAAAATGATTCTGTCTCTTTGGGAGGACAGTGGAATTTACCAAAGAACTATCGAGCTTTAGTAAGTTCTCTACTAGGAGTCACTGTCTTGGTCTCAGAATCATCGTTTGAACGGTGATTCTCTCTCCCATGTTTAGACAAGTCTTTGTATTGTCCCCATTACTGGTTTTTACATCGCTTGCTCGTTACAGGTTTCACCAACACAGACATTGATTAGTCCTGTTCAGTGTAAATCTATATGGAGGCAATTCAAGGTGGAGACAGAATACACTGTCTCTCAGGCCATTGCTGCCCAGGTAATACTGAAACTTCTTAAGTATTAACTTGAAAAAAATTAATTTACAACAAATTAGATGTTTTATTTAAGTTGTTTTTCTTGGATATGATCAGATTAGAACTTTGCAATGAACATCTGGTTTATTGTTTATTTATTTTTCTATTTGGCTTTTTGGTCACTGAGGCAAAAGGATGGGAGGGTTTTGTTCACATCAATGGTTATTTTAAGTAAATTGTTTTTTAGAAGGGAAACAAATTTCATAGATGAAATAACAGGAGCTTTTATGCTCCCAACACGAAAAGGTGAATTACAAAAAAGATCTTCGATTAGAAGTCAAAGAAGATATATAGCACAAAATAAAATAAAACATGTTTACACCCATATATAGCATAAAATAGAATAAAATAAAATCCAGAAAGCTATCGAAGGTCGAGAAAACATCCCTGAAAATCCTTGCATTTCTTTCACACCAGAGGTTCCTGAAGAATATCCTTACGTTTAGTTGGTCAGTGAGGACATGTTAGTTTTATTTGGTTGAGAAGGATATAAATCCTTGGTCTTCTTATTTTGCGGCATTATTGAATATTAAAGAACCTTACTTCTTGGACCACACTTGTTTTACATGCTGGTGACCTTACGTCAAGGAGGATGTTGCTATTGCTCCCTCGTAAAATTGAAAATTGTCAGACGGTTTTAAAGTATATATTTAGTGGTCAGACAGATTCCTTTAGCCTCGGGGGGTTTATTTAAATAATTGTGTAGATCAAATGTGGGTTTGGATGAAGATCTTACTGCAATAATTGCAAAGATAACATATCATATTTGATCGATTTCCCAAATGTTAAAGGCATTTTCAGAATCCAGTCCGCCGATGAATTTGGAGTTTGGCCGGTGATATTTAGTATAATACTTCACTAATTTATTTTGAGTCAAAGAGGTTGATGAGTCATGGACTCATTGTGATGGATAAGCCTAATTGAACAGCCTGTTCCATGTTTCTTATAAAGAAAAAGGAAATCTGATTACCACTTCAATAATTTCACACTTGATACTCAGTTCTCTTGGAACATATATACATATTTTTATGCGTCTATCTCAAACGTTATTATATTTTGCAGGAAGCCAGCAAACGTAACAACAACTGGTTGCCCCCGCCATGGGCAATTGCTGCAATGGTGATTCTCGGGTTTAATGAATTTATGACCCTTTTGAGGTTTGTGGTGATATTTTCTGCATTATAAAATGCTTGATCTTCCACTGGTTTCTCTAAGCTCATGTTTACTCCCATTATTTGACAGAAATCCATTATATTTGGGAGTTATATTTGTTCTGTATTTACTCGCCAAAGCCCTGTGGGTGCAGCTAGATGTTTCTGGTCAATTTAGCAATGGTCTCGTAAGTATCAAATATAACTTATGTTGTGTAGGACCTTATTTTTCTGCACCATTGGTGCCTGTTTTCACTGCTTGGAATTATTAAGATCAACCAAAAAAAAACCCCTCATTTATGCAAGGAATCTGACGTCTGATCTTATTTGCCACCAGCTTCCAGGACTTCTTTCTTTGTCTTCCACATTTGTGCCTACCGTCATGAATCTTCTTAAAAAATTAGCAGAAGAAGGACAGCAGAGGCCTACCACTTCTGATCCTCAGAGCAACCCCGCTATAACATCAAAAAGGATTCGGAACAGCTCTAGCAACGATATGACATCGACTGCATCATCAGCAGTGACTGAGACAGAGGTCGGTGCCGAGTGCACCAGTGGCTCAAAAGAAGATTAGGTTGAAGGAGTTGGTTATGGATTAATTTCTCCTTTTTTCTTTTCTGAAGATCCTGGGTTTCTTCCATCCACCTGTTGTCTTCACCAAATATATGATGATTAATGTTTGTTAACTATTGGAAGAATGTAAGAGCAAAGGGCTGAAGTTCAGGCTTTAATTTTTTTGCTGAGAGCCTCAAGCAGTGGCCTGGGGTGGTTGTTTGATAATGGGAAACCCCTTATAAGGGGATTCCATATATCAGTATAGGTGTTCGTTCATTCTCTGATCCCTTTTGGGTTTGAGTAGACTAAAAATGCTTCTCTTTTTCCTATATTATTGTTTGATTATCTGCTCTTTTTGCCTTTTATTTTGTCTTATAAGAGTTGTGACATTGATTGTGAGTATGTCTTTTATCTTTAATTTTATAGCCTTGACCCTTCCCTCTTCAGTTATTGTAGTTTTTCCATTCCTATGTTCGTCTCGATATTTTAGTTCTCCCTGCGCCTTACTTATGTGGTCTCAAAATCTCATGTACAATTCTCGAAGTTAAAATTAACTCCTAAAAAGTCGCATTTTAGGATTTACCTACTTGAAATCAGCATGGCTGGTGGTATGAATGATTCTACTATAGTACCGTTGCATTATAGGTAATTAAACAATGCAAAAACTCAATGAAGATGTGTTGTGTAAATTAAAATGAGATAGCGTAACACGATGTCGTGGACATTTTTCGAACCCAAAAGGGTGGCTTGGTATAATCAACTTTGTTAGTTACCCAATGACCAAGATTAATGCTTAATGTAGAAATCAAAATGTGGATTGAAAGACTGTGCATTCAAGAAAGGTTATTTTTAAAAATGTTGAAACATCCGAATATAGAAAGAAAACAAATTCCTTGCCAAACACGTAGCGTTCCCACTGCCAAGCATTTTCTGTGGATATGGCTATGGCCACCATTAAATATTAATTGGAGAGAGATATTAGCTTGGTGATCTCAATTTCTGAGCTTTTATGACCACCTTGTCGATGGCCACCATTAATTAAGGAGGCATGGATGTACTGAATTCTTTTCTTTAATAAGAATTCTGAAGATACAGAAAGCCTGTGGGAGGAGGAGACTCTCCCACTTGTTCAAATCTTTAATCCCAACCCAAATGATTAACCCTCCATTTACATCTCAACCACATAATCTCACTCTCCGTGACGTCTCACTTTTGTGGCGATGGAATAACGATTGTACGACATTTGTTCTAATCCAGCGAACAAATCAACCATGAAAAATTCAGACTTCGTAGATAACGTCAACATATACTCAAACTCCAAGTCACATTTGAGAGAAATATTTTAGAAAACATGACCGGAAGAATATTTTGAAAACGATTTGAAAGAAAACAATATTATAAGCTAAAAGCAATTAGGTAACGACTTTAATAGCACATAACCCAAATAAGAAGAAGTAACAACTAGTCATATCTCCTATAGTATATTTTAGGGCATGATTTTGGTGAACGGTCATACACCCCCATATTAACACAACGTGAAATAATAAAGACCTATCTAAAATGAAAGCATGTAAAAGGGGTTTGGAATGGGCATGCGGGCATAGACAACACGTCCTAGACAAGTATAACCGGGACATTAGGCAACACTCCTCTTTGAACATTTTTTTGAATGGGGAAGCTCCTAGAAGAGTAATCTTCTTCATCCATACTCTTCCTTGCGCAAAAAGACTGCAAACTTCAAACTTATGATATATTTCATCAGAGCGCAAACCCTTCTTAGCTATGGATTCAGGGTTCATTCTTTTGGGAATCTGTTCAAGGATAAACCAATACAATTTTGTAAGAGAGACATTGTAGAAAATGTTCCTTGGAACTTTTCATCCTTAGACTTCTACATCTACATGCTCAATTTTAAAAATCCATACAAAAAAAAGAAGAAAAAGAGTAGACCCCAGTTATACGTTGCACCAAAGATTTTCAACACAAATGTTAAGTCACTAGAGTGCTAGAGCATAGGCTCCCATCTGTTCTTAAAGTACAAAGCAAAATATGTAAAAATTGACATAGCAGAAAGCAAACAAACAGAGAAAAAGAAAAGTATGGTGCTGTATTTAATGTCCAAAACCTTGACATAGTTTAGTAAATTAAATGCTGTGAAAGCAAACAAACAAACAAGCATGTAGAAGTCAACTTGACTTTGAATATCACCACCAATAAAATTTCTATCATTGCCAACTCTCCAACATTGTATTTGAATAATATTCTAAAAAACAAAGTAAATAAATTTACACCAATATAGTTGGTTGTAATGAATTCCTCTGTTCTACCTGATTATAATAAATTAGTCTGCCTCTTCACATAAATTGTGACAATAAATGTTCCCCCTATAAAACGAAACAATGACACACTTACCAATGACAGTTCTACAAGGGCATCTTCTAGTACAAAGAAATAAATTGGATTTTCCTTTTCCTATCAATCCACTCACCCAGGATGAAATATTGCTATAAAATATGAACAAACCCCAAGAGGATGATGCTTTTCTGATGTAAAATTTTAAGCCAAAGGCCCATTTCATTTTGAGAAATTTGCCACCAAAAGCATGGCTTCCATTTGCATAAATGTTTCCTTAGATGCTCATTAATGACTGATGCAGAAGATATAGTTGAATACCGATCAGAATTGCATTGTTGCCTATACTGAGTCCATTAAATATGGTCCATAATAACCAGGTCTTCTCAGATTTGGCTTCCAAACAGCGCATATTTATTTTCAGAAAGGGGCAATTATTGCAATGGCAATTGCTTTGCGTGGGAGATGACATTTTTCACCAGTTGGGTGAAACTTATTTAATGGGATTCATCCACTTTTCTCTTAACCACATCGAATTGACTTGACAGTCATTTCAAGAAAGTTCAAAGGGGAAAGATTCAAATAAAGGTACCCTACCGAGAATTTAATTTCCAAAAATGGTCACCAAATATAGTAGGATCCGGTAATTGTCATTGAGATTAGTCAAAATGCATACAAACTAATACAAACTAGGTCAAACGCTCACAAGTAAAATATCAAAACATTATACAAAATTGTGGAAGACTAAGATCAAACAGTCAGACTTCACAGATGGCTCAGTGGCTTCTCATGAGCGGTGCAGATGAGATTAAATGAGATTTAAATGAGACAGGCTAGGTCTGTTTGTCAAATAAATGTAGCTAACAAGTAGAAGAAAAGGATTTTTTTTTAGTTCAGATGAAAATGGGCTATGGACAGTATATTTGTTTTAATATTTAACGAGCTTTTAAGAAATAATTTCCAGATTCCACAGTGATATTCTTCAAAAGATTTTTTAAAAACAGAAGAATTATCATTCAACGTGTTTGAGAGAATTTTATAACAGCACATATACCCACGTCCCATACCCTTACTTAAAACTATTTGAGACAATTAAAAAAACAAAAAAAAAACATTTCATGTATGACAGAGATCCTATTTGACAAATGGTCATTCGGTTAAAAGCTTACATATGGCTCTTCACATTGTATTGGTGGTGCAAGGTGTTCAAAACATAAGACAAAGGGGGACACTTGTGTTGGATGTTGGAAGGTTGAAAATTTGTGTTGGATGTTAGATGGTTGATCATTAAGACACTTAAATGTAAAACTGTTCATTACGATGGTTCTATGAATGGTCCTAAGAGCTTAAGGTTTTCTGCCTGATGACACCCAAAGTTCAACAGGACGGAAATCAATATCGACATCATTTATCAACTACACTATCCTCTTCTTTCTTTTCCCAACAAGTAACTAGACTTTTCATTTGAGTAATGAAAAGAAATAGAAGTTCAAAAGAACAAGATCCAAAGAAGGAAATAAGAAACAGAAAGAAAAGAAATGACGACTTAGTACTATAAAAGAATCCCAATTAATACAAATATCCTGAAAAGCACAATCAATAAACAATTCAGACAGAGATGACCATTGAAAGACTACACTATTCTTATATGATGTTACCTACTGTCGAACAAACGTTCAGTATTGAATGATAGTACAAAACGAATCCAAATTGAGTTCTAACTTCTCTATGTTCCTTTACCTATAAAAGAGTAGACACTCGAGAAAGAATCAGACCATTTATTCCTAAATTGACAGTTTTCTACAAAGAGCTGGGTGTATTTATTAGCATTTCAATGCGTCCTTATGCTTTCCCAAGAACATTGAAGAATGGTCCATGGAAAGTGCTTTTCAATGATATCACTATTTATTTCTTAAAGAAAATTACCTCTCTCACTCTTTATGCATTCCACTCTCAGAATTGTCAATGGCAAATACCTAGAAGCTGATGAGGAGGTAAGTATTATACAAAAGATAATATGTGATATCATGTGTTGTACATAGGGATGTTCTTTCCCCCACCCCACACATATGTCCCATATTCGAGTATGTGTATGTATGTATGTATATGTAGATAAACATATATATGTATGTATATGTATATATATATATATAAGGAATAGAGCTAAAACTTAAAAAAGCTTCAATCAAGTAAAATAATACCTAAGAAATACTTATAAAAAGACCTTCGTCACCAGTGCTATATTTCTGGATAATTATCTCAATGCATATGAAATATAATGTTAAGAAAAACTTTAAAATGAGATTTCTTGAAAACTAGCCATTTAAATGAAGCTTTTTCAAGATGAAAGCATTGCATGTAATTGAGATTTGAAAAGAAAAACAAATGGAGAATAATTCTTTGGAGAGAATACGATCCTCGTGAAAATTACCTAAAAAATTTGTTGAGATAGAAAATTAAATTGGAGGCAGGAACAAGGACCAGAAGAGTCTAGAATTTCAGTACCATAACAAATGCAACTTACATTACACTGTATCCTTTCTCCCAAGAACGAAAAAGATCAAAAAAAGAGAAAGAAAAGTCTAAAATTTCAGTACCACTACACCAAAACATTCGTGAGAGAGAGAAATTCTAGGGCAAATAAGAAGAGTTAAAAAGGAAATTCAACTAACAACCTGAACTTTCACTTTGTCAGGTATTACTCGTGAAATTAACTTTCTCAAGTAATCGAACTTTCAATACCGATAATCCAAGTGAAAATCATTTAACTTGGAATAAAAAAGACAGTTGAATGCCTCTCTTTTCGAAAAAAAAAGTTTAGAAGAAGCTAAGCTTCCCTTATCAGAGACAAATTAGACAAAGTTTCCATCACACAAAATTGAAAATTAAGAAATATGTTGAATACAAAATAAAAAATGAGACCCAAGGCCAGAACTTTCTGACTTTTATAAAAAAAAAAAAAAAAAAAAAAAAAAAAAAAAAAAAAA